AGAATGCAAGAGGTGTTTTCTGTTTGGACTTTAAACCTCGTGCACCAGAGCACAGATGCTTCTAACTCAAATAAAAAAAAAAAAATGTTTAGTATGGTGGCTGAGTAGATGATTCAGTGAGGAAAAAGCTTGTGCAAACCTGACAACCTGTGTTCAGATCCCTAGAATCCATTAAAAGTCAAATCCAACAGCACAATCACCTGTAAGCCCAGTGTATTTCTCTAGATGCTTGTAGGCCAGGCAGCCTGGTTAATGCAATGGCAAAGAGACCCTCTCTCAAAGAGGCTGATATACAACATTGATTAGAGGATAAAACCCCAAGAAAAATAGACTGATGAGTTCTTTTAGAAGGGATTTATTGAAAACATCACTCCTTCATGTCAGCTCCACAGCACTTAAGGACCCTCTCTAACTTCTAAGGAATGTAGCACAATTGATGGCTTCTTCCACATCTTGCAGCATCTATAGATCACCCATTCCTTCCAGATATGCCATACTTCCAGAGCCCTAGCAGCTATTATTTGGCACACTTCTGTTATAGCACGATATCCAGGGTGTACTTTACAGTGATTCAAAATTACTCTGAAGTCCTCCATAATTAAATCTTTCTCTAGAATCTTGACCATTTCAGTCTGCACAGGGACATCCCACTTGTCCCACCAAATACTGTTAGATGTGGGCACACATGAACAGTCATATATGACATATAATCCTGCCTGTTTATCTGCTGTGACCCCTCCTGTCCTTTGCCTCTTAGCTCTTCTCTCAAGCTTACTAACCCACTAGGAGTTTAGTTCTTTGTAATGAAGCCCTTTCATGCTGTGGGACATTGATTTGTAGAGCTCTTTTCTTTCCTCACCTTTTTAGTACCTTATCTTCCTTTTATTTCTTAAGGTTTGTGTAGCAGAAACAATTTCTCAAGACATGAAGTGATATATCTAGACTTTATAGGCTATCTCTGCCTGCCATCCCTACCTTGTCTTTACAACATTTCCTTGATACTGAACAGCACAAGGAAACCTTCATGGTATGATGTTTGGTGATGGCAATCCCATCAAAATACCATATAGAACATGGTACTTCCAGAATGGTTGATGAGTAAAAAAGAGCTAAATGACCTTTTAAGAGTCATTCAGCATGCTGAAAAAACCTGTAAGCCAAGATTCTACAAGCGTTCTTGGACACACCAATATTCATAACTACCAAGTGCAAAAAGTTGTAATGTTCTTACTGCTCAGACTACCATGATCCTTGGGTTTCATCCTTATGGTTCTCTATCAGGAAGATATGGGCAAGGTGGAGTTTGTAGTTCTAGAGCACATCATGCTTTAATGCCCAACAAAGCATCTTTCCCCAATTAAAGCAGTCCTTCACTTTGTGTAGGGGGTTGTAATCATGATGCTTTTGTTTTGCTGTTTTTCTTCCTAAATGCAGATGGAAACCAACAGAAGTGAAATCTCAGGCAACTTCATTGTGCCATAAACTTGTCAGGAGAAATCAGGATCAAGATACATTAAGTTCTCACAAGCTGCGCTCATGTTCTAGTAAGATTAAAATGAAGTTCAACAAGAAAAGATTAGAGGGCATTGGCAAATCAGCCATCTAAACAATTATCTAAAACTTTCTGTAAGCTGATCATCTCTGGGGCACACCAGAATTCTTGGTGTAGGAGGGAATTTAGGGGACACTAATTCTCTTTTATGGTCTTCTCTACAGTTTCCACACTGAGGTCATGTCCAGCCCTTGCCGTTCTCCCTTCCATTTTGCATCATGCCTTGCTTCATGGTATTTTAAAAAGTTCTCCCTGCCCACGGTGCTGTTTAAAGTTTTGAGTTTTAGTGGTAAACTCCTATTTCCACTTGAGACCTAATGAAATATTTAGAGGTAGAGACACAACACTTGTTTGGAAATAAAAGACAGAACTCCATAAATGATTTTGAAACATAGATCAAAGAATCACTGGCTTCAAATAGATTTCAATTAGAATCTTTAGAACAATATGAACAAATTACTTAATTCTTTTTTATTATTAAGACATTTTTTATTCATTTTAGAAAGCAATCACAGATTCTTCCCCTCTTCTCTCCTCTCACCCCTCCAGCCTTCCTCTCACCAACCCCCCCCCCCCCATCCCCTCCTACAAGAAGGTAAGGCCTCCCATGGGGAGTCAGCAGAGCCTGGTGCATTCAGTAGAGGCAAGTACAAGTCCCTCCCCCTGCCTCAAGACTGTGAAATGTGTCCCACCATACGTAGTGGGCTCTAAAAAGCTAGCTCATGCACCAAGGATGGATCCTGATCCTACTGCCAGGGGCCCCATAAGCAGACCAAGCTACACAACTGTCTTGCTTATGCAGAGGGCCTAGTCCAAATGGGCTAAAAAGCTAAATAGAGAATTCTCACCAGAAGAATCTCAAATGACCAAAAGACATTTAAGGAATTCCTCAACATCCTTAGTCATCAAGGAAATGCAAATCAAAATGACTCTGAGATACCATCTTACATCTGTCAGAATGGCTAAGATCAAAAACACTGAAGACAGCTTATGTTGGAGAGGATATGGAGCAAGGGGAACACTCCTCCACTATTGGTGGGAGTGCAAACTTGTACAGCCACTTTGGAAATCAGTGTGGCGCTTTCTCAGAAAATTGGGAAGCAATCTTCTTCAAGACCCAGCTATATCACTCTTGGGCATATACCCAAGGAATGCTCAATCATACCACAAGGACACTTGCTCAACTATGTTCATAGCAGCAGTATTCATAATAGACAGAACCTGGAAACAACCTAGATGCCCCACAATTGAAGAATGGATAAAGAAAATGTGGTGCATATACACAATGGAGTACTACTCAGCAGTAAAAAACAATGATATCATGAAATTTGCAGGCAAATGAATAGAACTAGAAAATACTATTCTGAGTGAGATACCCCAGACTCCAAAAAACCAAACATGGTATGTACTCACTCATAAGTGGATACTAGATGTAAAGCAAAGGATAACCAGACTACAACTCACAGCTCCAGAGAAGCTAGTTAACAAGGAGGACAAAAAGAGGGATGCACAGATCGCCCTGAGAAGGGGAAATAGATGAGATCTCTATGAGTAAACTGGGGATGAGGGGTGGGCAATGAAGGGTAGGGGATGGGGGATGAGAACATACTTAATTATTGGGATTTCAAGAAATAAGAATATCTTTTGTAATTGGTTTCTCATTGACCCAGTATGCAGAAAATTATCTGGGGATTCTATTACTTTATTTGTACAATAATGATGGTTGCAGGCAGTAGTATCACTACCAAGTAGTCCACTTGATAGATAAGAATATAAAAGCTTAGTGAATATAAAAGCAGTGTTAGTTAAGGTGCCTATGATTATACAGCTGGTGACTAATGGAGCCAGAACATAAAACCCAGTTATTGTCATAAAGAACTGATGGTATCTAACACGATGTTAGAGCCATCACATGTAGCCATAAACATACCACAGTGTAGGGCATTATATTGCCATTGTCCTTCAGAATCCTAAGTCTCAGGAGTTCACATTAAGTGCTGGTCATCTCTTGGAGCCAGCAATGGTGAATGGCTCAGAGACCTTTCTGGATTTTTGGAGTATAATATGCTGCCAATATCTGTTAGAATTTTCTCTCCCATATTAGAGAGTTGTGCATCATATGCCCCACTTTGGGAGTTTGCAAAAGTCTACAATCTCATTTCACTGGCCTGAAATTTAATATGGAATTGAAGAAAAATCAGAATCTCTTCCTAAACAAATTTCATGAAAGCTCTGTGTAATCTTTGCAATTGCCAGAGAGGGATCTGAGTACACAAAGGATACCCTTTTATGGAGAACAGAGGAAGGTCAGCAGTGGCTGGTAAGCCTTCCCCAAATATAAGCCAGGGAGACTGGGCAGTGATACATTCACTCAGCCTAGGACACTAAGTTAGGTGACTTCACATGCCACTTCTTTCTGTGAACTTAAACTTTGAGATTTTACTTTCTTGATTTTTCCTTAAAATATTTTTTTATGTACGTGAGTGTGTGTGTGTGTGTGTGTGTGTGTGTGTGTGTGTGTATGTGTGTGTCTTTTTCTTCCTCCCTTCCTCTCTAACTGTATTCCCTCAACTTTATACTTATTTTCTACCTTATTAATTCTCTTTGTTATATGAAATTGAAATGATCAAGACAATTTCAAATATTTTCAACAAAAGAAATCTGTGAAATATCCCACTACCCATTAGCCTATTCAAATACTCAGCTAGATATATTGAAATGAACCAAGTGGTTGAACCCATTAATTGTGTTAAGCTGCCCTCCCAGCAGCTTTATTTCCAACCTTTATTCATATACAATTCCATTAGTATACAACTTCAGTTTACAGTGTGTCAGTATCCAAAGCAGTAGCTAAACTGCATAGACTGGATACTTTGTAAAATTGTTAAATTTTAAATTTTTGGTGATACAGGAAAATTATAAAACTGTTTCATTTATTGCAGGCATATACACACAAATGATATTGGATTACTGCCTACTATAACTTTTTTCCTTAACATATTAAGTATCCATTGTTTAACTCAAAGATATTTTAAAAAAATATTTATTTATTTTTATTTCATGTATGTGAGCGTTTGCCTACATGTACGTGTATATACACAATATGTGTGCCTGCTACCTATGGAGGTTAGAATAGGCATCCCCTGGAACTAGAAGTAGAGACAGTTGTAAACTGTCATGTAGGTGCTGGGAACTGAACCCAGGTCCTCTGTAAGAGCAGCAAGTGCTCTTAACTGCTGAGCCCTGTCTCTAGTTTCCACAGACAAACTTAAGAAATTACTGTGTCAGAGTTTTCACAGCATATGTTTTGGCTAACAGGCCCAATAAGATTTAACTTCTTAGAAGGTGTGATGAGAATCCAGCACCAGAGCAACAAACCGTTCAGGGAACTATTATTCTCCACATACAGAAAAGCCATCTTCATGAAACGTAAACGGGACACAGTTACCTGTCATGTTGCAATAAACCTTCAGAGGCCCCAGAGGTCCACTGCCGTCAGGATCTATCCAGTAGTAATTTGAGGTCTGGCCGAGGTGTTTATATGCTTCGCAGGAGGGCTCGTAGATGGCTGGAATGAAATATCCCACATGAGCATAGCACAAAACAAATATCTCCCCAGCTCAAAGCCCCAGTCACACACCCAGTGCTGGCGAGCTGCTGTATGGAGCAGTTCTTCTTTTCAGAATGAACATTCCTTCTCTCTGAACTTCAATTCCTAACAGCTTTTTCTCTAGCAGCATTTCTAACCTCAAAAGCAACTTATATGACTTTATAGTTGGCAAAAAAGATAGACCTCATTAGTAAATTAATAAAAACACACGTAATATATGCTTTTATTGGAGCTCATGACCCTTTAATTCACAGTCATTTGTAGCCATCATCTTCTTACTATAAGGTATTTTATTTTGAAAGATTGTGAATAATTGAACCATCAACTAAGATAAAGGAGATTTCTCTCTCAATTTTTGTATCACTAATGTAAATTTCCTATAAATCACATGTGATTTATAATCTTGTGCCTTGGGCAAAAGGAAAGCTTCTTTCCTGATTAAGTTTGTTACAGGTGCTTTAATTACATCAAATCTAGATTGTGTAAAAAGCTTGTATTTGCATAATTAAATTATAGGTTCTTTTCCATTGTTTGCCTTTTACTTTCCACGTCTGTGACATATTTTCTTCTTCTTGAAGAGGCTGCACTTGTTTTCAGAAGTACAAAATGGGCATTTACATATCTCCTTGGTTGTGTGACTCTCAAAAAAGCTATTAAGTAAAGTTTATTTCCTCCAGCAGCTTCAAACTGACATTCACGTGGACTGTGAATCATCTCGGAACAGGACAAGGAGACATTCTTGGTGAAGATTTGTTTACCCGGCACATCACCCGGACAGACTTTACAAAGTGCTCCTGCACAGTGATCCTAGGATTTGCTGTGTGTTAAATTAGGAAATAGGGAATCTGAATCTTTCATCCTCTACCAAGTTTTTCTGCCCCTCTTCAGCTGCCCGTGGCACCTCTACCCACGGATGAGAGATGTCCAGCTATCTTTTGTTGTACCAGTGTCACCACACTCAGTCAAATGCTTCTATAATTCTTTAATTGACTTGTCCCTTCTTCCCTCCATTCCTTCTGCAAAGAATGAAGGCAAAGAGCCTCTGCCCTGTGTCACACTGTACACCTGTCTATGCAAATCTAGCTGGACACAACCCAGACTCAAGACCTTTGGATCAGGATTTGTTTGTTGATTATGTGGGTATTGCTCATGCTTCACATGCTATTGGAAGAGGATGTGGCTAGAAAAGTAAGCAGAACCCATTAATCTTTGCCCCAGGGTAACCATTAATAGGTCCACTCTCAATCTCTTAAGTGTCTACACAATAAACTACATGTTTTCTCTAATTGTAGATGCCATGCTAAGTAAAATGCTGTAATAAAAGGCTAGGAAAAATGTTTTTTAAATGTTCAGTAGGAAGATTCTATAATTAGATGTAGGCTTCAAAATGAAAACTCCATGCAGTAAATGGTAGATTGTAGGGGACTATCAGTCTGTTGCTGCTTTTGGCTGGTTGAAAGATGACTGGTAGCTGAACTAAAGGAATGTGGCCAATGATAGAGTTGGCAGGACTGAGTGTAACAGTTCTAAGGTCAAGATGACATGGAGGCCATTTGAATAGAAGTGAGTGGGAATAGCTGCCACTGAAGGGTGATCTGAAATCACAATCTCTGAAAACAAACTAGGTGTGTTACTGATAACAGCATCTCCCCAGGTTAAAATTTTAAAAACCCTTAGTTCTGAAAATTTCACATATGTATACAATGGATTATCATATCTATGCTCCATTTATTCCAACTAACTCCCTCCATGTTTTCACCCAATACCCTTTTCCCAACTTCATGTATTCTTTTTTTGTAACCCATTAAATCCAGTTAGAATTTTCCAAATATGCATGGGTGTTGGAACTCTCACTGGAGTATGGAAAACCTTCCAGTGGCCATGTCCCCAATAAGAAATTATTCTATGGTGGGACACCTTACACAGCCTTGATGTGAGGGGAGAGGTTTGGATCTGCCTCAACTGAATGTACCAGGCTTAGCTGACACCCCATGGGAGACCTTACCTTTTAGGAGGAGGGGGTGGGAGGTGGGTTTTGGGGGGAGTGGAGGAGGAATGAGAGGGGGATCTGTGGTTGGTATGTAAAATAAATACAAAATTTCTTAATAAGGAAAACAAAATAAATGATTCTGCCCCAGAAATGACCCACACTAATAGGTTCCCAGGAGGGGGTGGGACCTGGAAATCTTCTACCTCATCTACGTGGGATATTTTCTGGCTTGATCTTGCGAAGGTATTATGCCGGGGAACCATGGCTGCTGTATAATTGTGACTGTGCTTCCTGCTTGCTCACTCTGCTTCCTGTTTATAGTTGAAACGTGACCTCTCAGCTTCCTTTCCCTGTCACCATGTCTTCTCCATTATTATGAACATAGAGCCCTCTAGAACCACACATAAATTCTTTGGGTCATGGTATTTTATCACAGCAATAAGAAGTGACTAATGCAGGCTGGGCTGACTCAGCTGGAGGTAGGGAGTGGTCATGGATATGACTGAGATAGCGCTGTATATGTGCATGCAATTTTTTAAGGAACGAAAACATGTACTGTGCTTTCCTTGGTTCAATAACACAGAGGAGTTAGGCTGGAGCTAACCTGGAAGCTTCTTCCATACTGTCTAGCTTTCATAGTATGGGCATTTTTACAGGCAGTTGGCTGGAAGCTAGCTGTGGTCCTTCCTGACTTTGGACCTTGCATACTGTAATACCAACTTTCCAAACGGATGTGCCCACTGAGGCAGTAGTGGTACAAGTGTTGTGGGGATGAACAACTTTTTTTCTGATTAGATCTGAGGTCTTTTGTGAAAGACACTAAAGTATTATAGGCCAGTCAAAGGCAATGTCTAGGTAGGCAATGTGCCTTAGGAGTGAATCTACTAGTTTTGTTTTGCTAAATGGGCACACTGTCAATCTGGCTAACAAGTTTATTTGTACCCATAGACTAGTCCTGCCTCAGCCTTTATCAAAGAACTTTCTTTTTACAATGAATTGTCATTAATGGAGAAACCATGGCTGGTTGTGATGCTGGGAAAAAGTAACTTAAACAGCGTTCCTTAAACAGTGTTCAGGTTTAAATAGGACACCTGCATCAGCCCCTCCTCCTCAAGGCTCAGGGAATACTGCAGTAAAAACAACAGAAAGAACAGATGAGCCAATGTAAGAATGTAAGAAAATAGGGAATAGAGGCAGTAAAACACTGTCTTTATGAGCATGGCATGACCTTGGCACTAATGAGCTCACAGTAGTTGCAGCTGCTTTCATGGAGGCTTCACAGATAGAGCCCATCAACATCCAGTCACAGACAGGGGAGGGGCTCATATCAGTTAAAGGTTTCAGGGAGAAATGAAACCCTTGTCTTCAGTGATGTCACTGGTGAGTTAATCACTCTCCTGTGGAGAGCTCCACGCCCATGCCTAAGTAGACAGCCTTAGTTAAACATGGTGGATCACAGAGCAAACACAACACACACACACACACACACACACACACACACACACACACACACACACACACACACACACACACACACACACACACACACAAAGTATGATGGGGACTAGGTGGGATGGGGAGGTCTCCATGGCAGTGGGAAGAAGATAATTGAAGGTGGAAGTGTGAGTGTGACCAGAATGACTCATATACATATATGAAATCAGCAAAGAGTAAATTAAATTTTAAACAGTATATGATGTGTTTCATCAATTTACATCATATTGTATCACAGACCATCTTTATGATATAGAGATTGTTATAATTGCAATAGGTCTTCCTTGGCTTTAGCAATTCGCCATCAACCCTGAACTCTGATCCAGCAGACTTGTTATACAACTTCCATGGCTCGTGCAGAGCTGTTCTGGGGTTGACTTTATATTCAATATCCTCAAGCCTACTTCTCAAGTTACATAATGTCTCAAGTTGAATTCTCAGCTTGGGAAGAAATAGTAAGGAATATGGATCTGAAGTCAAACAGACTTAGATAAACACACACAGAGAGAGAGAGAGAGAGAGAGAGAGAGAGAGAGAGAGAGAGAGAGAATTATCTAGCCCCATTTAGCCATGTCTGCAAAGAGATTACTAGATATGTTATAGTGGTCTCATAAGGACTGGAATAAAAATCCCATCCACCATTAAGCATATTGTCTGATGAACGGCAAGGTTTTAATGGGTAGCACTACAAGCACCATTTATATTATTAACCTATGGATTGTTTCCTGCCACTCAAATTCTTCATTCTTAAGGAGAGTATCCCTAGTGAACATGTGTATTTTTGTAATAACCCAGAACACTAATACCTGCATGCAGTTGACTCAGAAATTGATCAGCTTCTTCCTCTAAAATGCATTTTTATGTAAATGCCTTTCCTAAAGGGGTGTGATTGGAAAATGTTGTTTCCTCTATTCCATATCTATAACATCCTAAAATACAAAAAAAAAAAAACCCTGAACTTAAAATTTACTTATTCCTTGCTCTCATTTTATTTTGATAAGGGAGTGTTAGGTGGCTTATAAGAAGTACATGGCTATTAAAACATCAGTACATGATAATAAATATGAAAAACTGCTTATCCTATTTCTAGCTAAGTATATAGATAGGCATTTGAACCATGGGTTTAGAACTTTGCCCATTCAATATACTAGAAGTAAATGTTGAAGCCTTTGGAAGTGGGAAATTCTGGTAATCAAGAAGCCCTTCTGGGTTTTTTTTTTTTTTTTGGTTTTATGTTTTGTTTTGTTTTTCAACTCTAATAATTATTCTGTTTGACTTTAGCCTACAACAGTCTGCTGTTGACTCATCAACACACACAGAAGCCAAGTCCTTTGCAAACTTGCATGTGTGAAAAATCACAGAGAGCTGATTGCCATGGGGAGGCTCTGACCTCACTGCAAGGAGCCTATCTGGGCAGAGAATTTGCAGCTGTAAGAGGCTCCAAAGTGAGCTGGCACTGCAGGTCTTCGGACTG